TATTTATTGCCTCATTTGGTTAAGAGATTGAATCAACAGTTCCAAAACCATTATTGTGAAGACTCATCATCCATTTAACATGAACAGTAGAAAAGACTCCATAGAAGTTCATATTTGAGAATTAAATAGATTCTGCTTAGGCTCAACCCTCCAAAAAATAACTGCCCCAGTAAAACCAAAGCTAGTTGCCATTGACTCAATTCCAACTCATGGTGACCCCATGTGTGTCAGAATAGAACTGTGCTCCATAAAGGGTTTTCAATGGCTGATATTTTGGAAGTAGATTGCCAGGGCTTTCTTCTGAGGAGCCTCTGAGCAGACCTGATGCCCCAACCTTTTGGTTAGCAGCTGAGTATCGTTGTTAGCTGCTGTCGAGTCACCCCCAGCTCATGGTGATGCCATGCACAACAGGATCGGACTATTATGATCCACACGGTTTTCATTGGCTCATTTTTGGAGGTAGATTGCCAGGACTTTCTTCCTAGTCTGTCTTAGTCTGGAAGCTCCACTGAAATCTCTTCAACATCACAGCAACGCACAAGCCTCCACTGACAGATGAGTCGTGGCTGTGCATGAGGTGCATTGGCCAAGAATAAAACCTGGGTCTCCCACATGGAAGGTGAGAATTCTCTAAGCCTCCTGAACCACCACGGTCTCCTAGCAGCTGCATACTCAGCCAGAAAAGTAGTAATTCATTCATAGGCTTAGAAGCCACCGTGCATACATGAATGGCAGGATTTCTGTCAGGTCCCCCTCTGAGCATCACAACCGTCAGTTAACTTGTCCTTCCTGCTCCAGGCCTGCCCTCCGATGACTCAGCTGTGTGAGAAGATCATCTCCACGCTGCCTTCCTGGAGGAAAGTCAGCGGGCCCAACCAGCTGATGTCACTGCAGCAGTTCATGTACGACGTGCAGGACCAGCTGAACCCCCTGGCCAGTGAGGAGGACCTCAGGCACATAGCCCAGCAGCTCCACAGCACTGGCGAGGTAACAGCCTGGGAGAGGCTCCAGGGCCTCATTTCTGTGTCCAAATTCCAGAGTCTTGATGGAGGCGTGAGCCTGGGGAGGAATGAGTGCAAAGTGCCCAACTACCCATAATATTTCCAGATGTATGACTAGTTCCTGGGTACTGCAAATGGTAACACGCTCGGCTGCTAACCGAAAGGTTGGAGATTCCAGTCCACCCAGAGGTGGCTCAGAAGAAAGACCTAGTGACCTACTTCTGAAAAGTCAGCCATTGAAAACCCTATCAAGCACAGTTCTACTCTGACACACATGGGGTCTCCGTGAGTCGGAATTGACTCAAGGCAAGTGGTTTGATTAGGAGCCGTTGTTTTGCTTCATTTTCCAGAGTCTGTTAGGGAGCATGATTCCCCCCTGCACTGAGAGACGATGGTCTTTCTGCACGTCCCCTTGGTCACCTGATACTTTCCTGCTGTTACTGACAGCCATCAGTCAGTCTGGCTGCTCTGCATGGGTGTTATCAACTCCAGCTCAACAGTGAGGAAAGGCAGTGAGGTGTCC